CCCAAGAAACCTACTGTGGCTCAACTTCAGCAAGAACTCGCGGACTTGCAGTCAAAATATACCCAACTTTGTAGTAAATTAGAGACAGTCAGTGAATAAAAACACAGTCAGTTGAAACTTTGCCTTGTTTATTGATCTAACACCCCAAGGTTACATTAATTGTGAAGTGTAATATTTTACTAATATATAGATTTAGCCACGGCTAAAAGCAAAGCTCCCATTGAAACGTTAAGTGATTTTGGAGTGAAACAAATCTTGTACCGAGTTGATATAGCCTTACATGTACACCCAAAGAGGTGTACGGTCAAATTTAAGAGCACTAATGGCTCTTGATCACAGTAGATAAGGCGTGGAAAGCAAATCAGGCCGAATTTTTTGCGATCGACAAGTTTACAAATTCTTGCCAATAAATCTGGGTGCGTGAAAACCAATCTTTTATTTTTTTTAATACACCACATCTGAGGAGAAAGAATACTATGAGGCGCTGTTTTTATCATACAGACGTCGTACAAAATGCAGTATTTCACAATTTTTCAAGACAAATTGCATTCATTCAATATTCAGAACCATCGAAGCACGCGTGGACTTTTAATTAGCGAAACCGTTCAAAAAATTTCCAAAATCACCTATACGGCCAGCCGGTTCTAACTTTTGACAAGCGCCAAATTTGCGAAGAAATTTTTAAAAAGAGTTACACTTCAACGTGATAAAGAATTTATTGAGTCTATTTTTTATTCTTAGTTTTATAACGATGTGTAACCTTAAAAAGCGTTTGATACGCTCGGCATTTTGAGTACTCCTGCAAGCGATGTTTATGAACGGCTGAAAACAAACGGCAAAGCGATGAAAATTACACTTTTGAGACTACCAACAATCAATAAAGAAATATAATTCGGTAGAACATTTACAGAGAACATTCACGAAAGCAAATGAGTATTTAAGTGTCTCTAAGAATCCTCAAGTCTTTACTAGTAAGCTTAAAGATTAAGTTTACGTTTTAAGCCGCCGGTTTCCCGGGCCTGTTTGCTGTTTTCAAAGATGAACTCAGGACAAGAAAATCGCTCAAAGCTTTCTTTCTACAGCCAAAATTATAACTAAATATTCTTTGGAAAGTCTTTTCTTTCTATTTACGGTGAATTAATATCGACTAAAGGCTTTTTAAAGTTCTGTAAGCTTAAGCTTATATCAAACCTCATACTAGGTCAGATCAGTGTCTCAGTCAAATCTTAATACAAACGTGCATAAACTAGCTTCATAAACTGCGCCGCTGGACTTCATGAAATTAGATATAATTACAATAATTAATCAGGCTTACCATATTTCGAGATGCAGCTCCTGAAAACTATCAAGTAAGGCCAGGATCGCTTGAGCCTTTATAATTCTCGCACGCATCCAGCAAGGTGAAAAACAAAAACGATGCCATCCGAAATGGGATTATCGGCTTTGACAAGCGACGCATTTCTCAACGAAAAACCCAGTAAACAAACCAGCCATGAATAAGAGAACACTCTTGATAGCAGCTGTATTTCATTTTGTGCATCCAGTGGAAAAAGACAGTTAAAAACATCACAAGTTGATTCAAAACTCTGTCAGCTTCAGCTGTCAAAGTAAACAACTTTCAAGATGCTGCATAAATTTTACGCATGAACTCAGCTGTCAAATTTTAACCAATCAGAGCCTAAAAAATGGACGTGGAGCGTGACCAACACGTGACCATGGTAAGAAAAGGTCTTCCCCGCCTGTATTAAAAAAAAACTGGCAGAATTTTTACGTCTGAGGTCAGTTTGAAATCAAAATCGTAATAGTGCGGGGCGATACTGACATAAACACAACATATTTGATATGAATTTTAAAAAAAGTAAACGTGAGCCTGCAATCATTTAAAAAAGGAATATATTGTCAGCAGATAACTTCAAAAAAATACTCGACCTTAACGGGTCGACACCTGAGCCCGCGATATGGTCAGGTGATACTGGTCAGCGGATACCCTGTTTTGAAAGTTCTCAATTGATGACAACATTGATGTGCAATCAGCTTCCTCCTGGGCTCCCAAAGTAGCTAGAAAGTGTGAGAGTAAACATTGGTATGCCTGTGGTACGGACGGACGGTCGCTCGGTCGGTCACGTGATTACCAAATTTTCCGGGATTAGTAGATTACCTTAGCTATGGGGCTCCGCCCACGCGCGCGTGGAGCTTCGCTACAAAGTTCGTTAAGTCTTTTTCCCATGCTAAAATGAGTGCATTGGCAATTAAGTTCATGATAGCTTGGTTCACCTTATAATAATGTATTGCTTTTACAAAACAACTTGGAGACAATTGAATGTTCGAAATTGCCGAAAAGGGTTTACCATTTCCTCTCGCCGTAGTCACGTCCATCATTGTCTTGTCATGTGTAACTGTCAGCAGTATTAACTTGTCCATCAAATGAGATCCTAGTGCCATGATTTTGGAATAATTCTGGCCTGGCTTGTCCTCTTCTCCAATATTGACGAGAAATTGCAGCAATTCTTTCTCTTCTGTAGCACGCTTCACAGTAACAATGTTTGAGAACGAGACCTTGAATTCAGGCAGGTGTCCCTCTTTTTGTTGAAGTCTTGCTTTATAAAAAGGCATAAATTCTATGGTTTGGCGATACGTTTCCACTTGCTCATCTAAATACTTTGTAAGCTCCATTATGTGACAGCCGTTGGTTTCGGTCAAGAGATAGGGTGAAATGAGGTTTTCGTTGCTGTCTTTTCTTAATTATAATACCTCATAGTGGACAAGTATCGACAAATGTTCTGTTCCCCATCAATGACGTCAACGTCTGTTGTTTGCAGGGATTATTCTAATGACGTAATCGCTTTTGTTTTGTCCTCTGATTAAATGATGACATCAATGACTATTGTTCTCGTGGATCAATGTAATAACTAATTTCAATTCCATACACGGTGTTTGTAGTTGTGTCATCAACCATCGATGACTTAGCCAATCAAATGAGGCTAAAATGGTGCGTGCTAAGTTACACGTCCATGGGAAAAATGCAAAGACGAGAATATTTGTCAACACCCCAAGACATCTTGTTAAAGGCAGAGGTAACGGTTCTACTGCTTGTAATTAAACATAACAGGGTGATTTCATTGGATACCCATGACGTGTAATCCAACGTTGAATTGCCCGTAATAATGCATCGCTCATGTACATCAACAAACTTTCATGCCAAGCAGGGACACGTAGTTGTTGAATACCCAAATCCAATTGAATTTCTACCACCGAATCGTTATAGGCTACCACACGATCCGCTAATTCCGTCAACTCCACAGAAATCACTGGATTGTAAATATCATAGCAATGAGAGCTAGTCAGACGTTTTTCTTGCCAGTATGAAAATAGTTCCAAATCCTGCATGGATACCGTCTGCATTGTGACTGCTAGTTTGACACGTACGCTAAAATCATTATGCCTTTTATGTCTGAAAAACGCTGAGTCAGCAATGCCCCCTCGCTAGGGTCCAGACCCTCGCAGTCTCTGTTAGAGTGTGAGGGGCTAGGGCAAAGGAAGTAAGGTTAGGGCAAGGGAGTGGGGTTAGGGCAAGGGCTAGGTTAGGGTTAGGGTTAGGGCTGGGGGTTGGAGTGGGTTCAAGAATTCACACAATGTAAAAATCACACATTTTTAATGCAGGTTTACACCACCATGCTATCTTACCCTACTTGTTATGACATGCATCTCAACTAGTCTACTGAAAATCACGTCCATGCTTTAAAGTCTCACATATCCATAGGGGTATGAAAATCCAGTGTCTTTTTCTACCACTCTCTCATCCCAGTTCACTCCAAACACTGTGATCAAATCTTTCAATCCGACTGTTTTATAAGTGTTATCTCTAACAAAATGATTCTTAATTTCAATGTTCATCACACGTCTACGGGTTTGTGAGTTCTTGTTGAATGTGGTTCATCATAGAGTTACAGTTCAACACCTGGTTGATTTCATAACAACTCTTGGTGCCTTTGTTTTTGCATTCAAATTTACCACTCGCTGTTAGATAACAATAGGATTTAGGCCCTGCTGATCCAAGGTCTACAATTGTATCTCCTTGTAATTCATCATCTGTCATTTGACCTAAGAAAACACCCGTTGGTATGTAAGGCTGGTCTTGTTTCCAGCTATAAATCACAGAGTCGGTGTCGTAATACAACACTTGTTCTTCTAGCTTTTCTAATTCAGCATACAATTTAAGACGTGCCAATGCCGTAGTCAAAAACGCAATGAAGATTTTTTTGTTTTTCCTCCACCTTCACATGCATCTTCATGTTTCATCACATTCACCTCTAAGATATCTTGGCTTATGATACGAACATCTTTGATTACCACAGAGTCATCTTGAATCAACTTTTGCCATCTTTCCTCATCTTGGATTGATAGTGTTTGAACCCTGTGCTCGTTTTCACCAAATTTCCCCCAAAAGCTAGAAAAGCAAGAGAAAGAGATATCAGATTAGCGAGTATGTCATCAAAACAAAACATTACGAAACAAAAGACACTCACGAGTTCAACATCAGTTTCGATAATTGTTTCCTGCCAGGATTTTTCACGATGTTGTCTAACTTGATGCCCTCTTTTTCTTCAAAATCTTTAACATATTGTTCTTTCTTTTCCTGTGTATCACAGTGACTTGGCCATCCACTTGCTTCTGTTTTGTACTTTAACCAAGTATTCATATAGGGTGCAAACAAACCCTGCTTCCGCTGCGCCTCAGGAAAATGCCAGACATTCATAATACAACCATTGAAGAGCTATCTTACTTTGGCATGTTTTCAACCCTCCCCACCAATGAGGTGGTTCTACTGCAACCGTTTTGGGTTCCATCTGATTATTACGCCAAAAATAGTGACATGTAGAGGCAATCGTTATATAATGTCAATATTCTAAGATTTCTGTTTGGAAGTTCCAAATCTTTCCTTCTATCACTTGTTCTGCATGCCAAGTTTCATATTCTTCTTTCTTCTCTTTATTCATTTG